GAGAGAGAGAGGATGAGTGTAAACTGTGAGATGTCTGTTGAGAGGACTGAGAAGTTGGACTGAAGTCTATAAACCAACAGAGTTATGTTTGAGATAGAGGAACATGTCACAGTGATGGATACGCCTCAGTGTGAACAGTGACTGAGATAGAGCTGTAAAAAGTTAGGCCCGACAAGGCCCGAGCCCGACAAGTACATTTTTGATTGACAGCCCGAACCCGTTTATAGCCCGACATTATTCAAAGAATAATTAAGCGCGCGCACGCAGCTTGTTTTAAGAGAACGTTACATTTCTTGCATTTTACATACACTGGGTCATTGTTCTCATTATGCACATGTTCAAAATGTTACCACACCTCAAACTTAGCTGCTGCTGGTGTAACCAAAAAATATACGCCAGAGGCAAGCCTTTGTTTCACCTCATCCATCTTCGTTCTTCGCAATGCATCTTTCTCGCGCTAATTGAAACGCATCACGTGACCACTCATTTAACGCGCGAATGATCTGTAGAAGAAGGGGGGCGAAAATAGGGACTAGAAATTCAGAGGATCGTAGGTTCGAATCCCGTGCTGGTAAAAATGAAACTGGCCATACCATTGTCGAAGGACGGACGTCCCGGGCTCATTGACGATGAGGTTGAGCTGCTGTAGATCTTTTGCCGTTAAAATTTAATGTGCAGCGTTCTGTGTGTATGCAGATGCTTCGCTGTTAATTGGAGGTAAACATTTGACTGTCTAATTTCGAGTTCATGTAGACTACTTTCTCTAGCTTTAGCGAGAGTTTAATGATAGCGTGTAACGTTACAATGCAGAGTGAAAGAACTAATACAAATGCTAATATTCACACCTTACAGCTGCTGTCTTAAAACACCATATATCAAATTAGGACGTTTGTCAGAGGAAAAAAAACAAGATTTTTTTTTTAAGCAGGGGATCTCATATCTTCTCTAACCTCCTTCCTTACCTTTACCACAGGTAACCCTCTGCTTTCTTCATCACTCCTTTCTCTCTTCTACCGTGTCTTCAGCTTGCTGGTTTGTGGAGGACATGTGGTGCTAGTTCGTTTATATTGAAAGAGAAAACTAATAAGAGGATATATATTTTTCAGTATGAAATTTATTATGCATTAACGTATCAAAATTAACATGTGCACATGGAGCCTATCTGTTTAGGATAAACACCTCAGACTTAGCTGCTGCTGGTGTAACCAAAAAATATACGCCAGAGGCAAGCCTTTGTTTCACCTCATCCATCTTCGTTCTTCGCAATGCATCTTTCTTGCACTAATTGAAACGCATCACGTGACCACTCATTTAATGCGCGAGCCTGAGCCCGGCCTGAGTAAAAATGATAGAAATTAAGCGCGACCCCGTCGGGCAGGGTTCGGGCTAAGAATTACAGCTCTAATCTGGCTACCTGTGTTTTAAAATACACAGGGTTTCCTGTGTTAGCATTTTGCTGAGACACCTAATGAATTTGCTGGATTCATTCTTCCACTGAAACAGGTGGCTCAGCAAACCTGCCGATTCCAACTTAAATCAGTGAAGGTGAAAGTGTGTGCTCAGCAAAGTTCCCCTTGTAGCACTGAGATTATTCCTTGAGCTTTCCAGTAGCATTTTCAGTTTATTAGTAACACAAATGGCAAAAATATAATGCCATTAGAATCAATGAGCAAGTGTTAATCACAAATAGTAGTCTTAAACCACAACTTAACAAGAATTTATGTATTCATTTTACCAGAGACATGGTAGCAAGTGTACATGACATGTTACCTGTCTGAGATAAAGGAAAAAGCTGGAGTACTGGCCCGCCTCGGGGAGGTAGGAGAGAAACACTGTGATACAGATGAGAAGCACCGTGGAGTCCTGGCCCACTTTACGCAGAGACTGCCCAAGAGAACAGCGAGAACAACTGAACATATGCCCAGAATTTCAAACATGAACAATATCAGTGGCATTTGTGATACACCGATTTATACACATTTCTTATTTAATAAGCCCTGAGCCACAATGGCACCTCTGCGGCCCAGTGTCTTGCCATAAACACTTCAGTTAGCTGTCTTCCAATACAAAATGTGCTACTGATACAGTGTCTGAATGAAAGGACCAGATCACCGTCTTAAAACAAACCCATGCCCATGTTTACATTGAAACTGGTTTTTCTTGCTGTTACCTTTCTTCCTGTTCATACTGGTAATTTAAATAGTCCCTCCTAACATGAATGTTTTCGGATTTAGCAAAAGCCCTCATTTCAAGGCAGAAATATGTTATACAAAATGTCTGAGTAATGAGATCTCTGCAATCTGAATTAAGTCAGATAGCGCCCAAATATACAGGAGGAAGAGTAACAGGAAAATGACTAACACACTAACTTTGAAGGATAGTTGACTGTTCTGCCTGAGACTGCTGAAGCCTCATTAATTTCAATTCAACTTTTGAATTTATGTTTGCACAGAATGAGGACTATGGATTTATCACCTCACACATTTATGCATCACAAATGTTACTGTAATAGAGTACAGTTGCTTTCTCTTATGAAAAAGCAATTCCTAAAGCTTCAGCAGTTCGCTCTTTTTAAAATTCACCAATTAGAAATAAAGGAATGTGGCTATACATCCTTGTGCAGCTCTGCAGGAACAAATGATTAAAAGAAAAGACTGTTCAGTGAGCAATTTGTGATCAGCTTGCCCTTGCACATAATTTACATCACCAGTAAGTGTGTTTCCAGCACGAGGGCCTTTGCTAAATCCGAAAACATTCAATTACACAGTTCATTTTACTTTGAAAAAGCTTGAACTTTAGACAAATGTTTTTATTCAAACCAAAGCACTAATAGCTGATAAAACACTGTATTCAACAGCTGTTTAGCTTGATATAACCTGTGTAAAATACTGGGTCACAACTGACTAAAAATGATCAATAGAGAGGATTGTGTTTTCACTCACGGCAAAAGGATCTGCCTGTTCCCAAGAGATGGGTGCTCCCCATGATGCTGGCCTCATCTTCTCTGGCAGAGACTCTGGTACAGCTACTAGGATGAAGCAGATATCAAGGAGGGCGATTGCCGTGGCCAGAATCACCACCAAGGTGTCACCATAGTTGTCAGACAGATACGCGCCGATTGCCGGGCTGGTGACCAGACTAGCCGCAAAGGTAGCCGATACCTGAAAGGAGAGAACAAGCACAGCTGAGGTGAGCAAAAAGTGAAGTGATCAGTTTTCCTTCCATGCAGTTTTCAAATCAACTGTTCTGGCCCAGGTTGTAATGCTGTTCATATTTTCTTGCTGTACTGACCACTGATGTGGTGAAGGACTTTGTCAGAGTTTAGGCAAAGGTACAAATACAGGGATGATTCTTCCGTTTATGCACATATTAAACAGGAGCATGACAATCAGTTCTGGTGAACTATCTCCTCACCAAACCGTATGCTGTGCTCCTCTCGTGCTCCTGCGTGATGTCGGCCACATAAGCAAAGATCACAGAGAAGGTGACAGCAAAGACACCAGACATGGAGATGACTGCAAAGTACCACCTGAAAGAAGAAGATAGTTTGGCAGGTCAGCACAAACTAAAATGACTACAACCTCTTTAAACTGCAATTCAGTACAAGAAACCTGCATAAAGGCCATCTTTGTGGACTTTATTAGGCTTTACTTTAAAACAAACCTACTTCCCAAGATGTTGCCTCCTATAAACCCAACATGAAACTGATGTGGATGCCAGCCTTATCAGCGCATACAGTATGCTTTGGGAATGCCCAAATGTTCACTATTAGACTAAAATCTCCCAATCTCTGTCATCAGATCTAACTCTAGTGGTTTTGGGGATTAAAGCTTCCAATATCAAGTTGTTAAATAATCAATATAATTTGATTTCCTTTGACTCTACCACCAACCTAACAACCCCCTTGGCTCTGTTGAAGAATCAGACACTTCCAGCTACAAAACATTCAATTTTCAATAAGGGGGAATGTGAATAAGTTTAATTCAATCCGATTATCTTTCACAGACTTTTCAAAAACATGAGCTCATTATCTATTTTTAAAGATACAACAAATCCTAGGGCATCAATTTTTGTCGTTTTTCTTTTCTATTGTACGTTTAAATACGTAGGTGCAGTAGATTCTCAGAAAGCAAACAAGACCCAGCATTCATGATATGCACGCTCTTAAGGCTGTGCAATTGGGCAATTAGTTGAAAGGGGTGTGTTCAAAAAAATAGCAGTGTCTGCCGTTGACTGTACAAACACAAAACTATGTTGTACAAATGTTTTTGTTTCTAGGATTTAGCAATCCTGTGAATCACTAAACTAATATTTAGTTGTATGACCACAGTTTTTTATAACTGCTTCACATCTGTGTGGCATGGAGTCAACCAACTTGTGGCACCTTTCAGCTGTTATTCCACTCCATGATTCTTTAACAACATTCCACAATTCATTTACATTTCTTGGTTTTGCTTCAGAAACAGCATTTTTGATATCACCCCACAAGTTCTCGATTGGATTAAGGTCCGGGGATTGGGCTGGCCACTCCATAACATTAATTTTGTTGGTTTGGAACCAAGACTTTGCTCGTTTACTAGTGTGTTTGGGGTCATTGTCTTGTTGAAACAACCATTTCAAGGGCATGTCCTCTTCGGCATAAGGCAACATGACCTCTTCAAGTATTTTGACATATGCAAACTGATCCATGATCCCTGGTATGCGATAAATAGGCCCAACACCATAGTAGGAGAAACATGCCCATATCATGATGCTTGCACCACCATGCTTCACTGTCTTCACTGTGTACTGTGGCTTGAATTCAGAGTTTGGGGGTCGTCTCACAAACTGTCTGTGGCCCTTGGACCCAAAAAGAACAATTTTACTCTCATCAGTCCACAAAATGTTCCTCCATTTCTCTTTAGGCCAGTTGACGTGTTCTTTGGCAAATTGTAACCTCACTGATTGAATGCCACGCTGCTATTTTTTTTAACACACCCCTTTCAACTAATTGCCCAATTGCACAGCCTTAAGAGCGTGCATATCATGAATTCTAGGTCTTGTTTGTTTTCTGAGAATCTACTGCACCTACTGGTAACTTGTTTGCCATGTAGCAATAAAAAATATACTAAAAACCTGGATTATTCTGGTTAGTCACATTGTACTGCTATTATTTTGAACAATACTGTAATAGTATTTGCAATAGTAGTATTTTGCACTTCATAATGTATCAAAACCCTAATAATCTGAATTCAAAATCCTGACTCTACACTGTGAGAGGTTCAACCCTGCGGCACTCACCATGGGCTGATCTTCATCAGTGGAATGGGTGCACATGTGAAGAAGACCGTTAGCAGCAGGAAGGACTTGCGTCCCCATACGTCTGACAATGCACCAATCAGTGGAGCACTCAGAAATGACAACAGGCCCTGGAAGAGTAGGGCATGAACTAATGTTAAATAAAGAAGGAAGAAAATGTTTAGATGTATTTGTTGAACAGGCAACTGTCTATGCACGATACTACCCCTTTTGCTAAAACTTGTGGAAAAATTAATCTGAGTCACATCTTTAAAGTGCACTAATTTTAGCTGTGGCTGCTGAGTGTGTCCTCTAAAGCCACAGTGACACAAAGGCAACCAACAGCTTCACAACAGTTTCTATTGTCTGGACAGTTAAAAGTCCAGTAAACAGCTTGTTAAGTCTAATAACGACAAGCTGTTGTAGCTGGCATAGTGGATCAAAAAAGATTTTTCTACTCTAAAGAAAGCGTTGAAACCTGAGAAAACATGACAGTGACGAAGCACCTAAGGCCGGCTGGTGTGAGGTGTGGTCCAAAGTAAAACCTTAGGCAGACCTACTGACTGACACATGGCAAGAACGGAGATCATCTCTAAAGTGCTATGTTGCTAACAGAAGAAACTAATGGTCAAAATAATTGTTTGTCCTGTAACAATAAAATAATTTTGTCAGTGTGAGAAATTTGTTTTGTCTTTTTTGTACTGACAAAGCATAGTCAGTTGTCATAATCAATGGTTCCTGACAGCCAACCACTGATTTATCAACACAGTTTAACTGAACTCTTGACTGGAGAGTAATGATTTTTTTTTAAATCACAGAATAACAAAGCTTGTGGTGTTAACATCACAACAGTTGCAAACAAAATTAAATTTAAAATCATAACCAGATGTGTTCTCCAGCTATCTTTAGAAACATGCTCTCGTCCCCAGCTACTGTCAGGGGGCATTTGAGGCACTTCACCCTCAAAAGGTGCTTCAGCAGAGCTTTTCCTGTGGCCAGTTGGGGAACCGGTTATAGTTCCTGGACAGCCTGCAGGTGTTCACATGCAAGTGAATCAAGCAGGGTGTCACTGAACAAGAGTACACCTGCTCAGCAAATCTTCCATGAGTAAATAAAAGCAAGTCCAACTCGCTGTGCTGAAGAAGGATGTTTAGCCGACAGCATCCGCAGTACTACAAACACAAAGCGCATGATGGCTGACTGCATGGTTTTATGTGACCAGAAAAAAAGAAACGTATATTTTACTTATGAATTTGATTTATCTATATCACTGTCACAAGCTGCAGAAGCACAAATAAGGCAAAAAACTGTATTACTGCTTATTTATTTCTTGTGAATATTACTCCACAGTACACGCAAATGTTTTCCTGACCCTTCTTTTAAAGTTATTACATTTAAAAAAAAACATATAAAGATACTGGTTGCCATTGTGATACCATAAATAATAAGACTAAAGAGTGGGGGACTGTGTCTTGTCAATTTTCATGCGTTACTGGAAAGCTGCTGAGAGACAGAATGTCGAACCTTGCTATGCTGTTTCCTACCTTGACACCATGTATGAGCCCATTCATCAGGAATGTGTGTTGGGGGAATGTCTGGTGTAATACCTGGAGAACACAGATTAACACCAGATGAAATCACTTTGTCCAAGGAGTTTGCATCACACCTTAAACAGTGAAGTAGGGTGGTTTTGATATTTTCAGTGTTAAACTAAAGTTACTGCATTGTACAAAAAAAGTCTCTTAACACAACAAGTGACAGAGGCCTGAAATCAAGAAAATAAACCACAAATTCAAACATGGTAGGCCTATGGAAATGGATATGAAAAAAATACAAATATCACACATATTAAATACAAGCATTTTCAAGTTCTTGCACTCCTCCAGTAGCCATGGCTCTCGCTACCAACTGCTTTAATATGCCCCTTTTACATGAACACAAATACACTGTCTCTGCAGGTGTGTTCCAAAACCCAACTGGCACGGTGCTGGTTGTGCCAGCTAGGCTCGGTCACCTTTCATTTTAACTACACTATGTAACAAGTGGCATGCTGGCCATGTTCCATTCGGATCATGGATCAACCGTGATTCGTCCCAACCCTAGTACTGGGGCAAAAATTAGCCACACTAAAAACATATAAAAAGAAAAATTATCAGAAGGGAAAGACTATAAAGTTGGTGTTGATTTGTTAACATCTGACAGATTATTTCATACTTCTAGCTGTTTTTGAACAGTGAGTTCAAAAGCTGATGAAGTCTATACTAGACATAGCCATGGTTACAGCTGTCATTCACAGTTATCATCAGACTGCATGACTGAGCACTTTTACCTGTTGTACACTGTGCATTTTTCACTCTAGTATG